CTTACCCAAAAATGGATGGAAGAAAAATTGCAAACTTACTTCAGGAGGGATACAGGATGCCTAAACCACAACACGTCGATGAAAAATTGTAAGTTTTCTTTTTCAACTCACTCTCTCTGATCATGCAAGAAAAATTTCTTTAAATTTTAAACAGATCATTTGAAATATACCAGGTATCAGATCATGATGAAATGTTGGAAAAATGACTCGGATGCAAGACCAACATTTACTGAATTGAAAAATCAGCTCAGGGACATGGAAACCCAACATAAGGTGAGAATTGTGATCAAAATGAGAGGTTCTTTTTTATGCAAGAGTGACTGGCTTAGGCTCAGTTAGTTACGGTTTTTAACTTTAACAGCATTTACCTGGATAGCTTAGTAATATATTCTCATCTCTTTCATTTTGACAAGTTTGGATTCCATCTTTTTTTTTATGTCACCGGAGTTAGCGCTCCACGAGCGAAGGAGCAAACTAAAATATTCCAACTATAAACGGTAATCTTTGGTTATTATTTTAAAGTTCATAAGATATGTATGAAAGCGATCCTTGCGTAATGAACTCTACTTATGTATTGTGAAAACAAGACCTAAAAAAAAATCAGGTCCGAATGGGATTTGAACCCATGACGTCTGCGATGCTGCGGTTTTAAACGTATGAAAACGATCCTCGTAGTAATAAACACTACATAAGATGATTGCAAAACCGCATTAAGACGCAACAAAGAGTAGCAAACAACGACGGCATAAAGTAGTGAAATTGTTTATTCATGAATAGTTATAAATACCAAAAGAAACATGCTCAGAGTCATACGTCTGAACTTACAATTTCATATAACTAACTGCTATCAAAAAAAGTAATTACAAACTATTTACAACAACAATAACAATAAGATAAAATTGAAAAGGCATCTGTTCACAAGACAGCGTTTATGACGTTCAGTTCTGACACGTGGCAGGATATAAGGGTGTCCTCTTTTCCTACGGCTCCTTGTTCTTTGGGGTGGAAGCAGTACATCAAGGGGATGATTACTGTCAGTAGTTTTGTTCTCCCATACTGGCCTATCTTTGATTTTAATTCAATTAGTTATGGTAAGTATTTGCTGGTATATCCATAACGTGGAGCCCGCTTACAAAACCTATCAATTTGGGAGAGATATTTACTATAGTGGGCACAAGCCCACACCTCAATCGCAAATGTGAAAAGTGAAATTCTAAGGCTGTCAAATTGCAGTGTAAGCTCTTGTAGTGAGTAGCCATAGTATTTACAAACTCTATGGATGTACAATCTAGAACTCGCTTTACTAAGCATATTTTTGAATTGAGTGTCCCAATTACATGAATCTTCACTCGCTGTAACTCCAGACAGCTTCAGTTAACTCCTAGCAATTCCATCCATGGACTTTGGGAGGGGCATCCTGGTTTTACCCCTAACAACCATCTCAAAGGTATTTTTCATGTTCAGCTTCATCTGATTATCATCAGTCCAAATTTTGATGTTGCTACTTCCTGATGTGATGAATCAGTGCGATTGAGGCCAATTGCGATATCATATTTGATCAGTAGGGTTTGGGGGGTTACAGGTTTGATGTCATTTAACCATGAAAGAGAACAATAAGGGTCCAAGCACAGTCCCCCGTGGAACTCCTCTATTGTTATTGAGGGAACTGGTAACCACTCCATCAATCCCCTACGCTCTGTCAGCGATCACACAGGAAGCTCATTATCCAGTTTTTAATGTCATACGACATCATCTTGTTTGCACAGAACGCGATGGGAGACTGAGTCAAAAGCCTTCCTAAAATCAAATGAAAAGGCTGTGACAAAATCCGCACTCGTGTCAAGTTGCTCAGGCCAAAAATGATAGCTATAGTTGTGTTGTGTCCCTTTTTATTAGCGAATTGGTCAGCTCCAATCGCTGACTTAAGGAAAGGAGATAGCTCTTGTTTGCAGACAAGACGCTCATAGATTCTGTGATGTTGGTTAATGAGGTAATTCTGAGTTGATCGCAATCAGTCAGAGGAGATTCCTTAGGGATGGGCGAGACATTTGCTTGTTTCCACAAGAATGGAACATTTTGATGATTGAGTGAGCAATTGAAAGTTTTTGGCGATCACTGGTGCAGATGGGGAGAGTAATCGCGCCAAAGCCAGTAAGGAAACTCATCAGGCCCCAAAGCGGTTTGTTTCTGATGTGTCAGTAAGTTCTTATATCACATTTATTCGCAGCTGGGAGATGGGTTCCTTCTGGTATTTGCGGACGCGTAGGAGCCTCATACGCGTCATCACTGTTGATGGTTTGAAAGTATGTGTTGATGACGTCAGGGGAAATCATCGAGCTAACAAGGGTACCTTGCGTCTTTCAACCAGTTATTCCTCTGGTGGTATCACACCATTCTTCTTGAATTTGTGTGAAAGCTTACCGCTCATGAGGATCACTATTTATAACAAATGAGGGACCCTGTCTTTATTTGACGCTGTTTATCTCTTTTTTTTGCTCTGCAGAGGCTAATCAACATGAGTATGTACGACAACCAATTGTATGCAAACGTCGAGGATTTAACAGTGTAGTTTGATGCACGTCCACGGTGTAAGATCGGCTAACGATTTGAACACTTTGCTGCAACAAGTCTCAGGGACTAATCATCTTTGCATTTAACGATTACGTTGTCCTTTTTATATTCTTAAACGGTAAACCGCTATTATATTTCTTCAGTCGCTTTACCGATAAAGTATACTCTCGTATTTCCCGTTAACTTGTTAAGAACTTACACGTATGCTCGACTTAATCAAGCATTTGTGATCGGTTTATTTCAAGCTAAATTCCGAAAGGCAGGAAACCGTTCTGACATCAGATGACGCGTTTTGATATCTTTGTACTGTAACCTTACCTTCCAAGAAAGAATCGTATTTACCAGATTGATCTCGCTCGGAAGGCCTTAGTTGTGTAAATTTGTTAGTTAATTTTAAGAAACTGTTTTGCCCCGACACCCACCTGTCTGGAGGAAAGCTATCATGCGCATAATATTGCTTTCCTAAGCCTATATTTGTTTGTGATACCCACTCGAAATGCTTTTACACTGAAATTATCAGAAGTATTAGTAAAATGAGCAGACTTCTTTTTAAAACTATTTATGCCTCTTGCTCGCTTGCTTATAAACTAAGCTAAAAAGTGTTTTACACTGTGCATAGCTAGGGGTGAGCTCGATTTGCTGGGAGAATTAAACGAACAACCTTTATTTGCCGTAATTTTGCCACTCAGTTGAGTGGCCGTTTATTTTTAATACCAAATCAAGTTACAGTAAAACCAGAAATACAAACCTAATCCCAGCAAAGGTGAGGGCAAACACGCAAAAGCCCTGATCGACCCGAGAAACAGGGTCGCCCCACCGGAAGCCCAAGCAATGCACAGTGCCTGAACAAAAACTCGTGTAACAACCCAACGTGATTAAACTGGCAAGTAAACCAACCTAGAGCCCCTTGGCGGGATTGATAGACTGAAAGCTAGTCTCTAATGCCATTTTAATACTAATGAAATTATGATCATGCTTGTGAAACTGTTAGCCCTTGCACAACCGCCCCTCAAGCATGTCATCTTAGAAGGAATCGACAAACCGTTAACTGAATTACTGTATTAACTTAACGTTAACCTACTGGCAGGCAAGAGAAGTGGATCGGAGGCACTACCAAATGATTCTATCCGAAAGGCCCAACTGCTGGCCCCTGCTCAGCAGCCATTCCTAAATGAAAGCGGATTATGACTACACATTCAATTTATGCTCAGGACATGAGTCATTTTAGGAACAGTTGGCCCCTGCACAACTGCTCCTAAGTAGGCCCTACCTAATATGTAAATCTAAGAGGTGGTTCATACTCAAATATTCCATATTCATTGTAATGCAAAGACAAACATAACACAGATACCAGAGGCCCCTGCACACCAGATCTGTACCATGTTTGGGAAAGTCTACTATGCCTATGTGGTATCCCCCTTGCAAGCATAGGCAAACGGCACTGACTTATGAATGGCCATGGAAGCCTTACAGAGATCCCATCGTGGAGGTTCGTATATATCGCAGAAATGCATTAGATTTCCAGCGTCCAAAATCCCTGATCTGTGTGTCCCATATACCTTTCGCTGCTGCCCCAGGAAGCAGCACCGATCCTAAAGCTATGAGTCTTATGGTGCGAATTATCCAGGTCACAAAACTGAAGGTCTTCCTTTAATGCTGTCACAAAGAAAGATCGAGATATTGGGGAGGCATCTGGCCAACAGAAAAGAAGTCCGGAAAATTGTCCCCGAATAGTTATATACTCTGACAGAAGATAGACGGGGAAAATTGGTCTCTCTCCAAAGGAAAATATCTACTGGGTTTGCAGAGTCACAATGCTTGTAGTTCTTCAACACAATCTTTAATGCGGTGACAGTACCCTCCCTGGTTTTCATGACTGATATTGATGATAGTTTGACAAGGTTGACTGCACCGATAAATAATTTCCCCAACCCTAAGGGCCGAAAAGAAAGCAACTGCATACATTGCCCGAGTTAATTTTGTGCTATACAAGGATAATTTTGTGTGCTCGCAGGCCAAGATGATATTTTCGAGTATGGGTAAAGTAATGGATAACCGAGTGTCCCTCGAAGGGTTTATTTTACTGTAACCCCGCAATGCGAGTTTGATCATCTCAGATTTAGTGGGGTCAGGCAGAGAAGCTAAACGATGGGGAAAACTTAATGCCGAAATGTAACTAACTACTGTAGAGGATGTATATGCTTTTTCAGCAAAAAAGTCGATAAACAAGGCTAGATTATGTTCGGAAAGAAGAAAAACTGGAGTTTGCAGCCCTAGGGGATCCCTTACAAATTGTTGCAAAATCCGCCAGGGGCGACGGTACACAAACCTAGATGTTACACCCAGACTAGCTTCTAATAACTTGGCTAGCCTATCTCCCAGTTCTCGGGTAGAAGGTGTGATGGCAGAGGGGTTGGTGTTGGGTCCATGCCCTGTGACACTGTTCGGAATTTATCGACCTGTGAACGAGATAAGCTATCAGCCAACACGTTCTTAGTTCCTTGAATATGACGCGCCCTAAAGAGGATATTGTTTCTTAGGCAAATCAGAAGCATTGTGCGCAACAACACCAGCATCTTGGTGTCCTTCGTTGTTTGCTTATTAATAACATGAACCACATTTCGTTGTCACTAAAAAGGAGGACCCTCCTGTTTCCGCTGAGGGCTACGAGAATTGGAAAAAATTTAAGAGAACAGATTTTATATGCCTTCCATGGGTCTGGCCATGTACCATAAGCCCAATGCTTGCCAAAAACAATTCCATACCCTTTAGACTGCGCAGAATCCGTGAAAAACTGCAAGTTATGAGAGGTTGACCAAGCTTCTAAGAAAAAATACTTTCCGTTTAAGGATTCTAAGAAAGTTTCCCAGATTATTAAATCTTTTATTTTTTTTCCAAAATTAATCGAATTCTGTGGTGCGCATGCTTGATACCTAAGGTGACATTTATAAGGCGCCTGATAAAAACTCGGTCAGAGAAAATTACCGAGCAGGCAAAATTCAGGAAACCTATAAGGGATTAGAGTTCCTTCAGTTGTACTCTTTTCTTGGGTAGAAGAGAGCGAATTGCGTCCAAGGTTTTGCCAACTTTTTCTTTGGGAAGCCTGGCCTCCATGTCTAAACAATCTAATTCAATGCCTGCAAAAGTTCATACTGGACTAGGGCCTTCTGTTTTATCTGGAGCCATGGGAACACCAATGTCGTCACAAAATTGCAAAAACCTTTGAAGGCTAGCATCAAAAATTTCATGGGATTTTTCAAGAATCAAAAAGTCATCCACAGTATGCAAGATGTTAGGCATCGCTAATTTGTTGCGAGCTACCCACTCCATTGCGGTACTGAGGGCCTCAAAGATCTAACAGGAACTAGCACAACCCATGGGGAGGCCGCGGTCGACATAATAGTTCCCCCTTCCCATTTCATTCCCAGTAAGTGATAGTCTGAGGGGTGTATTGGGATAATGCGGAAAGCACTCCGGAAATCCATCTGAGTAAGAGTACAACCTCTGCCTAACTGTTTGATAAGCCGAATTGCATCATCGACCTTAGCATAGCATACTGAACAAAACTCTTGTGGGATAAAATCGTTACTTGACTCACCAAAGAGGAAGGAATGATGGTGAATCATTCTAAATTCACCTTGTGCTTTCTTGGGTATGACCCCCAAGTGAGATATTCTAAGGTTAGGCAATGGGGTTCTAAAAAAGGTCCCATTATACGACCTTCCTGGGTCTCTTTAGTAAACTCTTAGTAAACCTGATCTGGGTGCTCAGATACTGAGACGAGATTATTAGAACCTGCTCTCTATGTGGCCATAATAATGTTAACGGAAGCCATGTAAAAGACCACTTAATAAATAATTACGCAGCTTCTCTGAGTAGCCCGATAAGTACTTTGCTAAGCTCCTAACTTTGACCGGAGTTGTGAGTGCTTCGGAGGGAAGTTTATTTGGGCCTGGTATGTCCCATAGGCTGTTTGGGGGCTTGTTGGCATTTGGAAATTGGGTGGCTATTTCCACACCTGAAACACTGGTGTTTGTAAGAACATCCTGGGCACGCAATTCCTTTGTGGAACTTCCAACAAAATCCCTTTGGGACAAATGATCCCCGTTGTCTACTTTTTCCTGGCTGGGTACTAAGTTTGGGACGAAAGGAATGAGACCTAAGCCAGAGCTCAGAGTGAATTTGGTCCCAAGGAGCACCCTGTGTCTACCTAATGCTCCGAAAATTCTCGTCATAGAGCTTCCAATTGGCTCCCTGTGAGGCTAAATCTCTAATGACTGACCCATACTTCATGAGGGTTGGGGTATCGTAAGGGGCTTTTTCTGAATAGATGGCAACAAACACCTGAAAGGCCGAGACCCGTTGTTCAATCGACTGAACAGTCTGTCACTTAGGACTAGGTGCTAAAACTAAAGCTGGCTTGCCACCTTCACCTTTCTCTACCCTGAAGGTATAATGATCGTCTGACTGAGTAAAGCTATTGTTTAACGATAGTGAAAAGTCTACATACTCGTTGGACCATATTTGTTTTTTGACCTTATCAGGTACACGGTGTGTCAATGGCACTGCAGAGGACAAAAAAGTGTTCTTACTTTGAGGTGCTGCACCAGGTAGTAAAGAACTTGAATTACACCAAAAGTAAAGCTCTTATTATCAAGGTTTTATCAGCCTACTGCTTAGCCATGAGACAATATTGGAATCCTAAGTTAAACCATAAAGAAAATAAAAGTTAAACCATAAATAGAATAAAAGCTAAACCATAAATGAAATAAAAGTTAAACCATAAATAAAATAAAAGTTAAACCATAAATAAAATAAAAATAAGAGAGATGGCAGTATAAAACAATCTGGCACAAACAAGTGATCTATAATACCACAAGGTAGTTATAAGCATACAAAGTAGGCAACAGCACAAATGGTACATGAATGGCACAGAGCAATAACACTTCTGCCGAGTGAGTATCATGACCCATGCTGACAAAGCTAGAACTGTACACCCCTGCCATACACAGCCAGAGAGGTGACAACCTGGCCACACAAATTAACAACAACTGGGAAAATCAAATAATAGTGTTTTCACTTTGGCTGTCTCGGTGAGCAACACAACGAGCTGACTGATAGTATGTCATACCGATTGAAAGTATTACAACAAGGGCGTTTAGGGCTAGTCGTTAGCACCACTGTAACTTGCCTTGAGCCTCACAGTGGAATGTTTCCGTCAGGGGACTAGTGAGTTCAGCCTTGTTGGTTATGGCGAATATTTTCTCTTTTACGTCTTAGGACAGGACTCCATACAGCGTCAAAAATATGATTTAAGTCTTAACGTCTTAGCCAAGGTAAAGCGAGAGCAGAGAGCCCGATAACTCGTGGGTAGCCTCTATTATCCTGAATCAAGTCGCCCGGTCTCAGCTAAGGTTGTTAAAATGGAGGCGGTGTTGTTAATGTTTTCAAGATCGTACTGGATTGTGTTATCCACACTACGCCGCCACGTCCGAGAAATACAACTAAACAAAAACAGGCACACAAGTCTAAGTGAAGCCTTCCAAGTGATGTTCAGATCGATATTCCTGCAATCTAAATACTTACGACCGACTAATCTTAGACGCGTACACGTGGTGTTCGCCCGCCGCCATGTGATTAGCCTGTATGACTTGTTATAGCGATTGACTGCGCTTAATTCAAGTTAACACAGCCTACTTAACTGAACGATGAAATGGACACCTCTCTTGAAGTCCTTCTTAAGGGAGATAAGGAGGATCCGTCGAAATTCCTTCAGCCTTCGGAAAAATGATTTTCGCTATTGCATAAATAGCGCTCTCTACTGCGAGGATCGTGCATCATACTTATCTACAA